CATTGATCACTGAAATACAGAAAACAGTCCAAAAATTCATTTGGAACAACAAAAGACCTAGAATAACCAAGACAATTCTAGACAAAAAAAGACAACACAGGAGGGATCTCAGTGCCGGACTTCAAACTCTACTATAGAGCCATAATAACAAAGACAGCTTGGTACTGGCACAAAAACAGACCTGAAGAATAGAAGATACAGAAATAAAACCACATACTTATAGTCAGCTGATATTTGACAAAGAAGACAAAAACATACAGTGGAAGAAGCACAGCCTCTTTAACTACTGGTGCTGGGAAAACTGGGCAGCCACATGCAGAAAACTAAAAGTGGACCCCAGCCTATCACCACGCACCAACATCAACTCAAAATGGATTAAAGACCTTAACATCAAACCTGAAACTCTGAAATTACTGCAGGACAGAGTAGGAGAGACACTTGAACTTATAGGCACAGGCAGGAACTTCCTGAACAGAGTTCCAGAGTCACAACAAATTGGAAAGAGACTCTACAAATAGGACTACCTTAAAATAAAAAGATTCTGCATAGCTAAAGACATAGCAATCAAACTAGAAAGACAGCCAATTAAATGGGAAAAAAATATTTACCAGCAATATCTCAGACAAGGGGCTAATATCCAGTATATACAGGGAACTCAAGAAACTAATCCCTCCCAAACCTAACAAACCAATTACTAAATGGACAAGGGAACTAAAGAGACTTTTCAGAAGAAGAGATAAAAATGAAACACATGAGGAAATGTTCACCATACCTGGGTGTAAAGGAAATGCAAATAAAGACAACCCTGAGATACTACCTTACCTCAGAATGGCCCACATCCTAAATTCAGCCAACAGCAAATGCTGGAGGGGATGCGGAGAAAAAGGAACCCTATTACACTGCTGGTATGAATGTACATTTATTTTATTTTATTTTATTTTTTGGTCCGATCGTGGGGCCTGAACTCTGGGCCTGGGCGCTGTCCCTCAGCTCTTCAGCTCAAGGCTAGCACTCTACCATGAGCCACAGCGCCACTTCCAGCTTTTTTTTCTTATGTGGTGCTGAGGAATCGAACCCAGGGCCTCGAGCATGCAAGGCAAGCACTCTACCACTGAGCCACCTTCCTAGCCCAGGAATGTACATTTATACAACCACTTTGGAAAGCAAAGTGGAGGGTCCTCAGAAAGCTAAATATAGACCTCCCCTATGACCCAGTCATACCATTCCTAGGCATCTACTCTTAACAACAGGAACCAGGATATAAGGACACATGCACCTCCATGTTTATTGCAGCACTGTTTACAATAGCCAGGATACAAAAACAATCCAGATGCATCACTACAGATGAATGGATCCAAAAATTGTGGTACCTAAGTGGTGCTGTGGCTCAAGTGGTAGAGCTCTAGCCTTGAGCTGAAGAGTTGAGGAAGAGTGTGCAGGCCCAGAGTTCAAGCCCCACAACGGACAAAAAAAAAAAAAAAAAAAGAAGGGTCAGGACAAAAATTGTGGTACCTATATACAATGGAATATTATTTACCCATTAGAAAGCACAAAATAATGGCATTCGCAGGGAAATGGATGGAACTAGAAAAAATTATGTTGAGCGAGGTAAACCAAGAGCAAAGAGACAAATGGCACATGATCTCCCTGATAAGTAGATGTTAAATCCAAAACGTAAGGGATATGACTAAACAAGACTCAAGAAACAAAGAATCTCCACTCAGGTGGTCGAATCATTACTAAATGACCCATGCTGCTGACTACATATATGGTATATATGTGCACATCGGAGGGAAACTAGGAGAAGGACACAGAAACAGGAAAACATACAACAGCCGGACCCATCAGCTGCACTGGTCATTGATCAAAACGAACTAAGCAACTCAATGGCAGCGATGGGAGGAAGGGAATGACTAGGAAAGAGGGAACAGCTGACACTAAGCAAAAGGAAAGAAATGTACATATCACCTGATGTGGAAGAAATAATTGTATTGTCAAAACTCATAGAACTCATAAACTTTATAGACAATTTGCCCCATGAAGGTTAGCATGTGTTTGTGACTTTAACTAAATATCACTATCTCACAATACTGTGAAATTTGTGAAATTTATGTAATCACTTAATCACAATAAAAAATTGCTATAAAAAAAAAGAACCTCTAACCTTGTTGGAGGACACACAACTAATGGCCAGGCTTTGAAGTCCAACACCAAAGAAAGAAGGAAAGAAAGGAGAGGAGAGGGTTTTTTTTTGGGGGGGGGGGTTAACTTGTTAAAATATTTCAATTATGCTTTTCTACAATGTTTACTTATTTGTGCCCATTTTTTCTACAAATGTAAGAGAAAGAGAGAGAGAGAGTGTGTGTATGTGTGTGTGTGTCTCAGCCTGTAATCCTAGCTAGCTATTCTAGAGGATGAGAATGAAGGATCACAATTCAAAGCCAGCTGGGCAAACAAAAAGTCCTTGAGACTCTTATCTCCAATGTATCCTTCAAAAACCTGAACTGGAGATGTGGCTCAAGTGGTACAACACCAGATTTGAGGGAAAAAGCTAAGGGACAGTTAACAGACTCTTGAGTTCAAGCCCTATTACCAGCACACACACACACAGTACATTATAAGCATTAAGACACTCTTGTTTTCTTTTATGTTTTTCTGTGCTTGAGAAAAAACTTAACACATATAATAGCATATATTCTGAAAACCTGTTTGTGCCAAAAATAAATAAAAAATACACACACACACACACACACACACACACACACACACACACACACACACACAAACACAAAGTAGGCCACAAAATATAAAGCAGAAAAAAGCAGAACTGCTTTGACTGAAGAAAGGTAAAGTTCTGGAGCTTTTTCTGCCATGCCCACCTCCCTTCCTACTCCTCATATGGGATCCCAGAGACATGTGCACACTGAACCTAAAGGACTCCTCTCTTTAAAAATGACTAGTCGGGGCTGGGAAGGTGGCTCAGTGGTAGAACACTTGCCTTGCATGCCTGAGGCCCTGGGTTCCATTCCTCAGCACCACATAAGCAAAAAGAAAAAAGCCGGAAGTGGTGCTGTGGCTCAAGTGGTAGAGTGCTAGCCTTGAGCTGAAGAGCTGAGGGACAGCACCCAGGCCCAGAGTTCAGGCCCCAAAACCGGACCCAAAATAAAATAAAATAAAAATGACTAGTGTACTTTAAACGTTTCATCTTTCAGCTAAGAAGATTGGGGCAGAGGAGGAGAATTATAGTGTGACCATAGTGTGGCCAGGGTCACACTATAATTTGTAGCAAAACCCCAACTACATCCATATCTAACTTCTAGGCTAGTGTTTTTTCTTCAAGAACAAAGGGAATGATGTCAAGATGGCAGGGTTATGATTGCAAGGAAGGACTAGAACTTTATGCCAGCTTGAGGCTCTTGTCCTTCTGAATCCAAGGGAAGCCAGACTTTGGGAAACAAGAATAGTTCCTGGGGCTGGGAAGGTGGCTCAGTGGTAGAGCGCTTGCCTTGCAAGCCTGAGGCCCTGGGTTCGATTCCTCAGCACCATATAAGCAAAAAGAAAAAAAGCAGGAAGTGGCGCTGTGGCTCAAGTGGTAGAGCGCTAGCCTTGAGCAGAAGAGCTGAGGGACAGCGCCCAGGCCCAGAGTTCAGGCCCCACAACCGGACCCCCCCAAAAAAAAAGAATAGTTCCTGCCGGGTGCTGGTGGCTCACACCTGTAATCCTAGCTACTAAGGAGGCTGAGATCTGAGGATCGCGGTTCAAAGCCAGCCCAGGCCGGAAAGTCCATGAAACTCTAATCTCCAATTAACCACCAGAAAACCGGAAGTGGCGCTGTAGCTCAAGTGGTAGAGAGCTCACCTTGAGCTGAAATGCTCAGGACAGCGCCCTGGTCCAGAGTTCTAGCCCCACAACTGACACATGCACACACAACAAAAGTTTCTCATTTCCTTTTCTTTCTTTTTTTTCTTTTCTTCCTTTTTTTTTTTTTTTGCTGGTCTTGGGGTTTGAACTCAGGGCCTGGGCCCTGTCCCTGAGCCTTTTGGTGCTCAAGACCAGCGCTCTACCATTTGAGCCACAGAGCCACTTCTGGCTTCTTGTGAGTAGTTATCGGAGGTAAGAGTCTCGCGAGGACTTTTCTCCTCGGACTGGCTTCGAACCTTGATCCTCAAATCTCAGCCTCCTGATTAGCTAGGATTACAGGAGTGAGCCACCGGCGCCAGCCTCCTCTTCCGTTTTACTAACTTCTTTGAGTTTGGTCCTTCAGAAAATAAAGGACCAAGGAAAAGAGTGAGCTGGAAGTGTGGAAATAAGTGTCTGAGAGGGACACTGGAGTAGAATGGGATAGAGTAAGATAGGGCTCCGGTGTGGCCCTAAGCCTACCCTTTTCCTCTTTCTCTACTCCTGACCCCTAGAGAGCCCTCTGATACCTGAGTAGGTGGGCAGGGCTTGGGCTCCTACATCTACTGCACTTTTCTATTTCCATGGCTCTTAAACTTCCCAGAGGTGCAAAGGCTTCTTCAGAAGGGGCTGGGAAGGTGGCTTGCCTTGCATACATGAGGCCCTGGGTTCGATTCCTCAGTGCCACATAAGCAGAAAAAGCCGGAAGTGGTGCTGTGGCTCCAGAGGGAGAGCACTAGCCTTGTCAGGGACAGCGCCCAGGCCCAGAGTTCAGGCCCCACGACCGACAAAAACAGACCAAGACAAAAAAACACCCCGCAGTGGGTATTTACAAAGGACCTCCATCCCTGAGGAGCCTTCTAGTTTATAGCACCGAAGAACTTTCCCCGGCGAGACCCAGTGAGGCCTTCTTGCATGCTCTTAGAACCGCCGGGCAGGGGCTAGCTGCGCTCCCGCAGGCCTCGCTCCCAGGGTGAGCCCCTTTACAGCTCCGCATCCCCGAGGGCTTTTCCACTCGGGCCTGCCGGGAGTTGTAGTCCCATACCCCCGTAGTCCACAAGCACTGAACTACAATGACCAGAGTGCCCCGCGCTTCGCGCCCCCTTCTTTTTCAGCCTCGGGGACCTAGGAGGCTCTGTGAACCTGCGGACTGGGAACGGATATGGCGGCCACGCTGGGCAGCGGGGAACGCTGGACAGAAGGTACCAGGTCCTGGCGGGAGGGTGGGACAAGGCGGTGTTCTGGAATGGTCAAGGATAGGCGGCAAGACCCTGGACCTGAGGCGAAGGGATGGAGGCCTGCGAGAGGATGCTAATCCTGAGTATGGCTGGGGATGCAGTGGGGACGGCTCAGGGCAGAGGCCGGAGCCGGAAACAAGCAACGCCCGAGCAAGCTGGGGTGTTGGCCGGGAGCCCAGAATCTCCGGCGCCGACTTGTTGCCTCCGGCCCCCTGTCCTCCGCCGCCCCCCCCCCCCCCCCGCCTCGGCCGTGCCCGCCAGGACCTGCGGCCGTCCCCAGTCCCCACCCTCATCCACCTGCACCCGCCCGCTGTCGAAGTGACCCGAAGGCAAGGGACGGGCTGTATGGTTCGCTGCTTGCTTACAGATCCTATGTCCACAATTCTGCAAAACGGGTCCGTCCGACCCTCCGTCCAGGTTTGATCTTGTCCCGTTAGTCCTCATCAGAGCCAGCTGGCCGTCTTTCTCCATCTTGCCAAAAGGCAGAAAGTACTGATCCGATACCTCCGTGTGTCTCGCATTATGCTTAGGCTGCCCCGGGATTTGACAGACATGAGCTCACAGAGCTGTCAGCCTATTCGGGTATTGGACGGGTTAATAGCCAATTACAAAATAGGGCCAATAAGTCCTGGACTAACACGGCAAGGTCAGGAACTTGGGAATCATGTTGTCAAGGCATCCAGCACAACCGGGGTGTCAAGGCAGCAAATACTACATATGAAGGCATAAAGGATGTATTGAAGTTAGCCAGGCAGATTCATGGTGTTAAAGAACAGTGGGTAAATATTGAGGGATGGTAAGAACAAAGATGTTTTTAAAGCCTTTTCTAGAACCTCTAATAAGTGCTCTGGACTCTCTGGATTGCATTCTTTAGGCCATTATGACAATGAATCCTCTCTCATTAAACTGTAACTTCTTTGTAGTTATTTACATCCTCCTGATTGATCTAGCCAAACTTCTTTCTTTCTTTTTCTTTCATTCTTTCTTTCTTTTTTTTTGGTCGGTTGTGGGGCTTGAACTCTGGGCCTGGGTGCTGTCCCTCAGCTCTTCAGCTCAAGGCAAGCACTCTACCACTTGAGCCTCAGCGACACTTCAGGTTTTCTAGTGATTTGTTGGAGATAAGAGTCTCACGGTCTTTTTCTGCCCTAGCTGGCTTTGAACTCTGATCCTCAGATCTCAGCCTCCTGAGTAGCTAGGATTACAGGCATGAACTACTACGCCTGGCCAAAATAATTTTTATGGGTAATGGTACTTCTGATTGTGGAGCACATAGAAATAGGTTTGTCTTTGTGCTGCACTGAAGGCAGAGTATTGGGTAGATAACTCTTGAGGCTCCTTTCTGTCTCTTTTTTGTTAACAAGGTTTGATGAATGACCAATCTAAGTATGGTGAATTTATTATGCCTCAAGATTCTGGGATTTATAGAATTTTCTTGGGTGTTTCCCATGCTTTTTGTATAGTTTTTCAGGGAGGATGTTTATTCATTGTGAATGGAAAATTAAAAGCTTTTTAAAATTAAAAGCCACCTATTCATCATATTAATTTGCTCATTCCTATAAGCATCCTCCCAGGGAACAAAGTGTGGTGGTACATACCTATAATCCCAGTACCAGCAAGGATGAAGCAAGAGGATCATGAATTAGAGGTTATTCCAGACTACATAGCTGTCCCCTAAAAAAGGGAAAAAATTACAAAGTTAATTTGTACTGAAGGGGTTATTATTTTGAAGCTTACATTGATGCAGTTAGAAGAAACAAATATCCAGAAGATAGACCTACTGAAAGTCATGACCCCTGTGGTTGCTGCAACTGCATGAAGGCGCAAAAGGAAAAGAACTCTGAGAATGAGTGGAATCAGACCCGGCAGGAGGGGAGCTCTACTTATACAGAAGAACAGCTGCTTGGGGTACAAAGGTAAGCATGAAATGGACCTACATGAGTAACATGCTTAAGAGTATATGACATTGAAGATGTCTACATAAAGATTGTTGTTGTTATTATTGAAGCATAGTAGCATCTTAACCTCCAAGGGTAGACAGGTAGACTGGGTAGAAATGGGGTATTAGAGTGTAATGTGAGCTCTTTTAGCTTTAAGAGAGGCACCAAGCTGTAAGAACCTCCGAGATGACACACATGTTTAAGGAACATTCTATTCAGTAATCACAGAATATAATTTTCTCAAGGATACTTGAAATGTCCCCTAGGATTTTAAAATATTAAAATAAATCATACCTATAATCTGCATTAAAAAAAATATAGAGGCTGGGAATGTGGCTTAGTGGTAGAGTGCTTGCTTAGCATGCATGAAGCCCTAGGTTTGATTCCTCAATACCACATAAACAGAAGAAGCCAGAAGTGGTACTGTGGCTCTCAAGTGGTAGTGTTTAGCTGAGGGAAGCCAGGCGCTGGTGGTTCACTCCTGTAATCCTAGCTACTCAGGAGGCCGAGATCTGAGGATTTCGGTTCAAAGCCAGCTTGGGCAGGAGAGTCTGTGAGATTCTTTTTTTTTTTTTTTTTTTGTCTGTCATAAGGCTTGAACTCTGGGCCTGAGTGCTGTCCCTCAGCTCTTCAGCTCAAGGCGAGCTCTCTACCACTTGAGCTACAGCGCCACTTCCGGTTTTCTGGTGTTTTTTTTTGTTTTTTGTTTTTTGTTTTTTTTTTTTGTCGGTTGTGGGGCTTGAACTCTGGGCCTGGGCGCTGTCCCTCAGCTCTTCAGCTCAAGGCGAGCGCTCTACCACTTGAACTACAGCACCACTTCCAGTTTTCTTGTGGTTTATTGGAGATAGGAGTCTCACGGTCTCTCCTGCCCAGGCTGGCTTTGAACCGAGATCCTCAGATCTCAGCCTCGTGAGTAGCTAGGATTACAGGCGTGAGCCACCAGCGCCCGGCTTTTCTGGTAGTTTATTGGAGATAGGAGTCTCACAGGTCTTTCTTTCCTGCCCGGGCTGGCTTTGAACCAAGATCCTCAGATCTCAGCCTCCTTAGTAGATAGGATTACAGGCGTGAGTCACCAGTGCCCGGCATCTGTGAGATTCTTATCTCCAATAAACTACTCAGAAAACCAGAAGTGGAGCTGTGGCTCAAGAGGTAGAGCACTAGCCTTGAGCTGAAGAGCTGAGGGACAGTGCCTGGGCCCTGAATTCAAGCCCCAGGCCCCAGGACTGGCAAAAAAAAAAAAAAAATACAAGTGAGTGTGGCATGGTAGCACATACCTTAAATTGTAGCACATGGAGAACCAGTGGCAAAAGGATTATAAATTCAAGCCCAGCCTAGGCTACATAGATGATTCTGGATTAGCCTGGGATCTGAGACCCTGTCCTAAAAAAGGGGATGCTGGCTCATGTCTGTAACTCTAACTACTCAGGAGGCTAAGATGTGAGGATCAAAGTTCAAAGCCGGGAAAGTCTGTGAGAGTCTTCTTTTTTTTTTTTTGTCAGTCCTGGGGCTTGAACTCAGGAACCAGGCTCTGTCCCTGGTCGTCTTTTGCTCAAGGCTAGCACTCTACCACTTGAGCCACAGTGCCCCTTCTGGCTTTTTTTTCCTGTTAATGTGGAACTGAGGAATCGAACCCAGGGCCTCATGCATGCTAGGCCCACACTCTACCATTAAGCCACCTTTCCAGCCCCATGTGAGATTCTATCTCCAACTAACCACCACAAAAAAAAAAAAAAGAGCTGGAAACTTAGCTGTCACTTTAAGTGGTAGACCATTAGCCTTGAGCACAAAAGCTCACAGACAGTACCCAGGCCCTAAGTTCAAGCCCCAGGACTAGCACGCACGTTTGTATGCAGCACATGTGTACGCACACGCGCGCGAGTGCACGCGCACACACACACAGAGCAATAAATGAGAGCCAGCTTCTGGTGGCTTACACCTGTAACCCTACCTACTGAGGAAACTGAGATGTGAGGATTGTGGTTTGAAGCCAGCTCTGGCAGGACAGTCTGGGAGACTTTTTTTTTTTTTTGGTAGTGGGTCTTGAACTCTGGGCCTGGGCACTGTTCCTGAACTCTTCAGCTTAAGGCTAGTGCTCTACCACTTAAGCCACAAAGCCACTTCTACTTTTCTGGTGGTTAATTGGAGATGAGAGCCTCATGATTGATCCTGCCTGGGCTGGCTTTGAGCCATGATCCTCAGATATCAGCCTCCTGAGTAGCTAGGATTACAGGCATGAGCCACCAGTGCCCAGCTTGTGAGACTCTTTATCTCCCGTAATAAAACTATTCCCCAAAAGCCAGAAGTGGAGCTCAGGCTCAAGTAAAAGAGTCATTAGCCTTGAGTAAAAGCAGCTCAGGACAGTGCTCAGGCCTTGAGTTTAGGCCCCAGGACTGGTTCATGCCCATGTATACATGAACATACACACACACACACACACACACACACACACACACACACACACACACACACACACACACACACACACACACACACACACACACACACACACACACACACACACACACACACACACACACACGAGTGGAGAAGAGCCAGGCATTGATGGCTCATACATGTAATCCTAGCTACTCAAAAGGCTGAGATCTGAGGATCACAGTTTGAAGCCAGCCCTGGTAGAAATGTTTGTGAGATTCTTATCTTCAGTTAACTAGCAAAAACCTAGAAATGGAGCTCAAGATTATCAGTTTAGCCTGAATTCAAGCACCTCGTTCTAGTCCCAGTACTGGCAAAACACAAACAACAACAACAACAACAGCAAAAAACCCACTGGGGAGGAAAAATAAGTGAAAAAAATACTTTTCAACTAATTCTATTAAGCAGTATTACCATGAAGCCAATGCCAAACCAAAAGCTATTACAAGAAGACAAATCTGCTGGGTGCTGGTGGCTCACACCTGTAATCTAGTTACTCAGAAGACTGATATCTGAGGATCAAGGTTCAAATCTAGCCTCGGCAGGAAAGTTCATGAGATTCTTATCTCCAGTAAACTACTTAGATAAAGCCAGAAGTGGCACTGTGGCTCAAGTGGTAGAGCACTATCCTTGAGCTGAAGAGCTGAGGAACAGCACCCAGGCTCAGAATTCAAGACCCACGACTGACCAAAAAAATAAAAATTAAAAAAATTCTAATTTACTTTATTGTTGTTTTAGAGGTGATAATACAGCAGGGTTACATTTATACATGTCAAGTAATAACTACATTTCCTTTTGCATAGTGTCAAATGTTCCCTCATTCTCTCCCATTCCCTCCCTCCCTCCTATCTGTATCCACTAGTTGCATAGTTCACTTTTATCCATGTCCAGTGCAGCCAGTGAACTTCACTGCTAGTTTTTCACCTTTTTTTCCTTTAGTTCTGTGTCCTCCCCCCAACCTTCCACAGATGTGCATGTGAATACATATATAAAGTAAAGAATACAGAGTAATCAGAAAAAGAAAAAAACAAATTTAGAAAAAAATTCAGCCGGGCACAGGTGGCTCATGCCTGTAATCCTAGCTACTCAGGAGGCTGAGATCTGAGAATCAGGGTTCTAAGCCAGCCTAGGCAGAAAAGTCTGTGAGACTCTTATCTCCAATAAATGACTAGAAAACCGGAAATGGTGCTGTGGCTCAAGTGGCAGAGTACTAGCCTTGAGCTGAAGAGCTGAGGGACAATGCTCAGGCCCAAAGTTCAAGCCCCACAACTGACAAAAAAAAAAATTCTTTGTTTCCATATCTTTGGAGTTTGTTTCATTATGTATATTATTTTATATATATTTGAAGAGGCACTTGGGTATTGCACCTTTGTGATTTTTCTCCTAAGACTATCCTTTTTTTGGTCTTACTTAGTAAGTTTCTAGAATTCTGTGTAATTTGTCATATCACAGTGGGTTTTAGATCTAACTTCTGCATATCAAGTAGAACCTGCACTGTTTGTCTCTGATTCTGGCTTACCTCACGTAACATGATTTGTTCTAGTTCCATCCATTTCCCTGTAAATGACATTATTCTTTCTAATGGCTGTGAAAAATTCCATTGTACATAGATACCACATTTTTTTGGACCAACTCATCTATTGTGGGACATCTGGGTTGTTTCCATATCTTGGCTATTTTGAATAGTGTGGCAATAAACATAGATGTGCAGGTGTCTTTATATCCTGGTTCATGATGCTCAGGGTAGATGCTAAGGAGTTGTATGGCTGGGTCATAGGGAAGGTCTAGTTTTTTCAGGAACCTCCAGACTGCTTTCCCATAACCAATATATTTTATGGCTATAAATTCAACAATGGAACAAACTAACTCTAGCATCATATAAAAATGATTATGCATATTGGTCAAGTAGGGTTTATAATAGTACTGCAAAAGATCTATTAATAATAGTACATGTTAGTAAAATAACAAAAATATGCATTCGTTTCAGTAGACACAGAAAAAAATTTTTTTTTTCTTTTTTTGTCCGGTCATGGGGCCTGAACTCTGGGCCTGGGTGCTGTCCCTCAGCTCTTCAGCTCAAGGCTAGCGCTCTACCACTTGAGCCACAGTGCCACTTCCGGCTTTTTTCTTCTTTTTGCTTATGTGGTGCTGAGGAATTGAACCCAGGGCCTCATGCATGCAAGGCAAGTAGTCTACCACTGAGCCACCTTCCCAGCCCCATACAGAAAAAATATTTGACAAAATCCAGATCATTCAAAAAAACTAGGACCAGAGGGAAACTTCTTCAGCCTTATAAGTCCATTTACAACAACAAACAAACAAAAAAGCCCACACAGCCAACCTTTTTATTTAATGATAAATAACTGGATATATTGACACCCAGATTAGGAACAAGATCACTGTTACCTCTCCGTTCTACTCATTTTTCTAGAGGTTTGAACAATTGTGTGTAAGACAAGAAAAGGAAATAAAAATTGGAAAGAATAAAATTGTATTCATAGATAACATCTACTTACACACAAAAGTAGCATTAGAATTAGTTCAGCAGAGTTACAGGGTACAAGATCAATATACAAAATGGATTGGTTTTCTATATACTAGAAATAAATAAGCTGACAATGAAATGAAATGAAATGAAATGTCAGGCTGGGACGTAGCTTGATGGTAGAATGCCTGTTTGCTTAGTATGTATGAAGCCTTGGCTTCAATTTAATAACTGCATCCAAAAGAATAAAATGCTAAGGAATAAATTTAACAAGGATGTGCAAGACATACATTAAAAACTATAAAACTGGCCAATTCTAATGGCTCATACCTGTAATCCTAGCTATTCAAGAGACTGAGATCTGAAGATCATGGTTCAAAGCCTGGGCAGGAAAATCTAAGAGACGCTTATTTCCAATTAATCACCAAAATGCCTGAAGTAGAGATGTGGCTCAAGTGGTAGAGTGCTGCTCTTGAGCATAAAAGCTCAGAGACAGTGCCCAAGCCCTGAGTTTAAGCCCCAGTATTGGCATGTGACACTTATCTCCAGTTAATCACAGAAAAAGGCCATAAGTGGCACTGTGGCTTAAGTGACAGAATGCTAGCCTTAGCAAAAGGAGCCCAGGAACAGTATCCATGCCCAGATCAAAGAAAGAAAGGAAGGGCTGGGAAGGTGACTCAGTGGTAGAGCCCTTGCCTTGCATGCCTGAGGCCCTGCGTTCCATTCCTCAGCACCACATAAGCAAAAAGAAAAAAAAAGCCGGAAGTGGCGCTGTGGCTCAAGTGGTAGAGCTCTAGCCTTGAGCTGAAGAGCTGAGGGACAGTGCCCAGGCCCAGAGTTCAGGCCCCACAACTGGACCCCCCCCCAAAAAAAAAAAAAAAAAAGAAAGGAAGAAAGAAGGAAGGAAGGAAGGAAAGAAAGAAAGAAAGAAAAGAAAAGAGAGAGAAAGGAAAGAACCCTAAGAAAAAAAGACAATCATAAGAAAATGAAAGAGGAGGGGCTGGGAAGGTGGCTCAGTGGTAGAGTGCTTGCCTTGCATGCATGAGGCTCTGGGTTCGATTCCTCAGTACCACATAAGCAAAAAGAAAAAAGCTGAAAGTGGCGCTGTGGCTCAAGTGGTAGAGTGCTAGCCTTGAGCTGAAGAGCTGAGGGACAGCACCCAGGCCCAGAGTTCAGGCCCCACAACCGGACCCCCCCCCCCAAAAAAAAAGAAAATGAAAGAGGAAATAGGTAGTTTAGCTTCCATTTAAGGACTAGCTTACTTGTTCTATACTTTTATAGTATTAGAGGAACAATAAAGGAGTAGATGTAAAAGTACTTAAAAAGACATTAAGGTTTGGGTGGGAAAATTCAAATTTTTCATTAATGGGTTTAGGTTCTCACAGATGAGAAGCATGTATTATTTATATCTTAGTTGAACAAATGGGCTTTTGTAGACATACATATTTCTTATTTATTTTTTTAGGATCAAGAAATGCAGAAACTACTATGAAATTCTGGGAGTTTCTCGAAATGCTAGTGATGAAGAACTTAAGAAAGCATACAGAAAACTTGCCCTGAAATTTCACCCTGACAAAAACTGTGCTCCTGGAGCAACAGATGCTTTCAAAGGTCTGATCCTGAACTGATGCTTAATTCATTTTTTGACTCTAGCATTGGGGATTGAACACAGGGTCTTGTGCATGCTAGGCAGCACTCTTATTTGTTGTTGGTCATGGGGCTTAAACTCTGGGCCTGGGCTGTCCCTCAGCTCTTCAGCTCAAGGCAAGTGCTCTACCACTTGAGCCACAGTGCTACTTCTGGTTTTCTGGTAGTTAATTGGAGATAAGAGTTTCATGCAGCCGGATGCTGGTGGCTCATGCCAGTAATCCTAGCTACTCAGGAGGCTGAGATCAGGCTCACGGTTCAAAGACAGCTTGGGCAGGAAACTCCATGAGACTCTTATCTCCAATAAACCACTAGAAAACTGGAAGTGGTGCTGTGGCTCAAGCGATAGAGCACTTGCCTTGAGCTGAAGAGCGCAGGGAACTCGCCCAAGCGCAGAGTTCAAGCCCCACAACTGGGAAAAAAAAAAGTTTCATGGACTTTTCTGCCTGGGCTGGCTTTGAACTGTGATCCTCAGATCTCAGCCTCCTGAGTAGTTAGGATTACAGGCATGAGCCACCAGCACCCAGCTAGGCAAGCACTCTTAACACTAAGCTACATATCAAGCAGCCTCTCCCCATACACACATCTTTTTTCTTTCTTTTTTTTTTTAATGTTGCCCAGGCTGGCCTTGTACTCACAATCCTCCTTAGCCTCCTAAATGCTGAGAATGCAGATGTAGACTACCAAACCTGACAGTAACTTGCTATAATAGAAGTTGTCTTTAACCTTTCCTGAAGTTGATTTATAAAGCCATTAAAGCCAGGCACTGGCGGCTCACACCTGTAATCTCAGCTACTCCAGGAAGCTGAGATCTAAGAATCTTGGTTAAAGGCAGCCCAGGCAGGAAAGTCTATGAGACTTTTTTTTTTTTTTTTTGCCATTCCTAGGACTTGAAATCAGGGCCTGAACACTGTTCCTGAGCTTCTTTTGTTCAAGGTTACCACTTTACCACTTGAACCACAGCACACTTCTGGCTTTTTCTGTTTATGTGGTACTGAGGAATCGAACTCAGGGCTTTGTGCATACTAGGCAAGCCACATTTCCAACCCTCGTGAGACTCTTGCATCCAATAAACTACTCAGAAAAAGCCAGGAGTGGTACTGTGGCTCAAGTGGTAGAATGTTAGCCTTGAGCAAAGAAGCTCAGGGACAGAGCCCAGGCCCAGAGTTCAAGCTCCAGGACTGGCAAAAAATGATGATAATTATAATAAAGCCATTAAGTGAGGCGTTTTCCCTCTACCTTTTAGTGATTATCAGCATAGCTGATAGTAGTTTTCATCTACTTACCTTAGTAGGTTTTTTGGGGGAAAAAAGTTTTTTTTTTTTTGTAACAGCCTTTGGAATTGATTCCAATGATGTTTATTGAAGACCTTCTATCTAACTGGTACCATAGTAAATAAAACAAACATGCTTCTTATGGCTACTACAGAATAGGGCCTATGCCATGGAAGTTTTTGTTCAAAAAGCTATGTATGAAGAGCATAAATAAGAAGTAGAGCTGTGGCTCAAAGTGGTAGAATACTAGCTAGCCTTGAGTGAAAGAGCTCAGGGACAGCACCCAAGCCCTGAGTTCAAGCCCTCTGACCAACAAAAAACTAAACTAAGCATAAATACTATTTTAGATCAAATCTGTTTTCCTCCAGTTTTTCAGAATACTTTTTCCCACACTTGTTTTACTAGCATCAATTAGTTGTGTAAGGGGACCCTCAGATCTCAGAATCCTGAATAGCTAAGATTATAAGCATGAGTCATCAGTATCTGGCTCAAGAACTCATTTTTGTGGGTTTTTTGGGTTTTTTTTTTGGGGTCCCGTCGTGGGGCTTGAACTCTGGGCCTGGGTGCTTTCCCTCAGCTCTTCAGCTCAAGGCTAGCACTCTACCACTTGAGCCACAGTGCCACTTCCGGCTTTTTTCTTTTTGCTTAGGTGGTGCTGAGGAATGGAATCCAGGGCCTCGGGCATGCAAGGCAAGCACTCTACCACTGAGCCACCTTCCCAGCCCCCTTTTTTTCTTGGGTCCAGTCATGGGGCCTGAACTCTGGGCCTGGGCACTGTCCCTCAGCTCTTCAGCTCAAGGCTAGCGCTCTACCACTTGAGGTGAACTCTGGGCCTGGGCACTGTCCCTCAGCTCTTCAGCTCAAGGCTAGCGCTCTACCACTTGAGGTGCCACTTCCGGGTTTTTTCTTTTTGCTTATGAGGTGCTGAGGAATCGAACCCAGGGCCTCAGGCACGCAAGGCAAGCGCTCTACCACTGAGCCAACTTCCCAGCCCCCTCCCTTTTATTTTTTTTTAAGTCGGTCATGGGGTTTAAAGTCAGGGCTTGGGTACGTCCCTGAGCTCTTTTGCTCAAGGCTAGTACTCTACAACTTTGAGTCACAGCTCTACTTCTGGTTTTCTGGTGGTTAGTTGCAGATAAGGGTCTCACAGACTTTTCTGCCCTGGCTGGTGTACAACTGCAATCCTCAGATCTCAGCCTACTGAGTAGCTAGGATTACAAGACTGGGCCTCAGGAAAACATTTTTGATGAATTGAGAGTGTTGGCCAATTGGAGGACCCTTTTGAATATGTTTGACACTTGGAAGTGGCGCTGTAGCTCAAGTGGTAGAGCGCTCGCCTTGAGTTGAAGAGCTGAGGGACAGCACCCAGGTCCAGAGTTCAAGCCCCACGACCGACCAAAAAAAAAAAGACTTTATACAGAATATGTTTGACACTTGCACAGATTGGCTCTCTGAGCTGAGGGGCAGGGCCCCAACTTTCAGGAAAACTAGGATACTCAAAACTCTTGACTAGATGCCAGGTGCTGGGGTTGGAGATATGGCTTAGGTGGTAGAATGCCAGCTATTAGTGAACAAACAGAATGAGAATGTAAGGCCCTTAGTTCAAGCCCCAGTGTCAGCACACAAACTCTCTTGTTTTGTTTTGTTGTTTTTGCTGGTAATGATGATTGAACTCAGGGCCTAGGAGCTGTCCCTGAGCTTTTTGTTCAAGGTGAGCACAGTACACAAACTATTTTTTAGGGCTGGGAAGGTGGCTCAGTGGTAGAGCGCTTGCCTTGCATGCATGAGGCCCTGGATTCGATTCCCCAGAACCACATAAGCAAAAAGGAAAAAAGCCGGAATTGGCTCTGTGGCTCAAGTGGTAGAGCGCTAGCCTTTAGAGCTGAAGATCTGAGGGACAGCACCCAGGCCCAGAGTTCAGGCCCATAACCGGACCCCACAAAAAAAACTATTTTTTAATTTAAATATTTAATTTTTTAATATTATAAAGGTGATGTATAAAAGGATTATAAAGAGTATAGTTTGCTAGGTGCCAGTGGCTCACGCCTGTAATCCTAGTTATTCAGGAGGCTGAGATCTGAGGATCTCAGTTCAAAGCCAGCTTGGGCAGAAAGTCCATGAAACTCTTATCTCCAATAAACCATCAGAAAACTGAAAGTGGCGCTGTAGCTGTAGTGGTAGAGCACTAGCCTTGAGCTAAAATGCCGAGGGACAGTACCCAGGCCCAGAGGTCAAACCCAACATTTAACAACAACAACAAAAAAGAGAGAACTTTTTTTTTTTTTTTTGCCAGTCCTGGGGCTTGAACTCTAGACCTGGGTGCTGTTCTTGAGCTCTTATGCTCAAGGTTAGTGCCCTACCACTTGAGCCACAGCTCCACTTCCAGCTTTTTCAGTGATTAATTGGAGATAAGAGACTCATGGACTTTGCCTGCCCAGGCTGGCCTTGAACCACTACCCTCAGATCTCAGCCAGGATTACAGGTGTGAGCCACCAGCACCCTGCAAGAGTGCATTTCTTTTCTTTCTTTTTTTCTTTTTTTTTTTTTTTGAGTCCAGTCCTGGGGCCTGAACTCTGGGCCTGGGTGCTGTCCCTCAGCTCTTCAGCTCAAGGCTAGCGCTCTACCACTTGAGCCATAGCGCCACTTCCGGCTTTTTTCTTTTTGCTTATGAGGTGCTGAGGAATCGAACCCAGGGCCTCATGCATGCAAGGCAAGCACTCTACCACTGAGTCACCTTCCCAGCCCTCTTTTTTTTTTTTGCTGGTTGTGGAGCCTGAACACTGAACCTGGGTGCTGTCCCTCAGCTCTTCAGCTCAAGGCTAAAGAATGCATTTCTTTTTAGACAATGTTACCCCTTCTCTCACTCTCTCCCAGTTTTCCCCTCTCATCCACAAGTTGTATAATTCATTTTCATCATAGCATCTAGTGAGGTCCATTGCTGCATTTGTTTGCCTTTTGTCCCTCTATTTCTGTGCCTCCCCCTTACCCTCCCAAAGATAAATAAATGAACAAATGGGACAAAAAGAAAAGAAAAACAGCAACAAAGAAAAAACGTCGGGGCTGGGAAGGTGGCTCAGTGGTAGAGCGCTTGCCTTGCATGCCTGAGGCCCTGGGTTCAATTCCTCAGCACCACATAAGAAAAAAGCTGGAAGTGGCGCTGTGGCTCAAGTGGTAGAGCGCTAGCCTTGAGCTGAAGAGCTGAGGGACAGCGCCCAGGCCCAGAGTTCAGGTCCCAAGACCGGACCCAAAAAAAAAAAAAGAAAAAATGTCTTCTTATTTCCATTTCCTGGAGTTCATTTTGATACATATTATTTTATATGATCAGATGCACATAGACATTGCAACTTTGAGCGTACAAACTATTGATTAGAAATTTGTTCTCAGAAAAAAAAAAAAAAAAAGAAATTTGTTCTCAGCTAGGTGCCAGTGGCTCACACCTGTAATCCTAACTACTCAGGAGGCTGAGAAATGAGGATCATGGTTCAAAGCCAGCTCATGCAGGAAAGTCCATGAAACTTTTTTTTTTTGGTCAGTCGTGGGGCTTGAACTCTGGGCTTGGGTGCTGTCGTTGAGCTCTTCAGCTCAAGGCGAGCGCTTTACCACTTGAGCCATGGTACCACTTCAGGTTTTCTAGTGGGTTTTATTGGAGATAAGAGTCTCACAGACTTTCCTGCCTGGGCTGGCTTTGAACCATGATCCTGAGATCTCAGCCACCTGAGTAGCTAGGATTACAGGTATGAGCCACCAGCACCCGGCTTTCCATGAAACTCTTATCTCCAATAAACCACCAGAAAACCGGAAGTGGCGCTGTGGCTCAAGTGGTAGAGTGCTGGCTTTGAGCTGAAGAACTAAGGAACAGCATCGAGGCCCAGAGTTCAAGCCCCAGGACCGACAAATAAATAAATAAATACCGGAATTGGCACTGTGGCTCAAAGTGGTAGAACACTAGCCTTGAGCAGAAGGGCTCAGGGACAGTGCCCAGGCCCTGAGTTCAAGCCCCAACACTTAAACTGAATCAAGAACAACCTCAAAGGCAAGCAGGCACTTTGGGGAACTTCATAGATCCAAGCATCTCTCCTTGAGCTATTGTGAAGTTATCTGGCACCAATCAACTTTGGCCTTTTACAGCTGTGGGGTGGGGGTGGGAGGGTCTGTCTGTCTGTGTGTCTGAGTATGTGTGTGTGTCTGTGTGTGTGTGTCAGTCATGGGGCCTGAACTCTGGGCCTGGGCACTGTCCCTCACCCCTTCAGCTCAAGGCTAGTGCTCTACCACTTGAGCCACAGCACCACTTCCGGCTTTTTCTGCTTATGTGGTGCTGAGGTATCAAACCTAGGGCCTCATGCATGCAAGGCAAGCACTCTACCACTGAGCCACCATCCTAGTCCCCTTTTTGCAGCTTTTGTGATCACCCTAGACATAACAAAGATGTGTTGCTTATATGCTATGTCTTGTTGCAGCGATAGGAAATGCCTTTGCAGTCCTGAGCAATCCTGATAAGAGGCTCCGCTATGATGAATATGGAGATGAGCAAGTGACTTTCACTGCACCTAGAGCCAGACCTTATAACTATTACAGGGACTTTGAAGCTGACATCACTCCAGAAGAGCTATTCAATGTCTTCTTTGGTGGACATTTTCCTACAGGTTAGTATCCCAAAATTGTGATTTTTTTTTCTCTCCCAGTACTGGAGGCTTGAACTCAGGGCTTCACACTTGAACTACACTCCAGGCCAACTTTTTCTGACTTTTTTTTGGGGGGGAGGGGTCTGTTGTGGAACTTGAACTCGGCAAGGGAGCTATCCGTCAGCTCTTAAGTTCAAGGTGAGCACTCTACCACTTGAGCCACAGCACCACTTCTGGTTTTCTGAGTGGTTTATTGGCTTTGAACTACAATTCTCGGATCTCAGTTTCCTGAGTAGCTAGGATTATAGGCTTGAGTCCGGCATTTTTTTCTGACTATTTTGAAGATGGAGTCTCATGGACATTTCTGCCTAGGCTAGCCTTAAACTGTCACTTTCCAGATCTCAGCCTTTTGAGTAGATAAAATTACAGGTAGAGCTACTGGTTTTTGGCCATTTTTTTTTTTTGTGCCTCTTAGCAGGTTTCTGTTTGAAGATCATAGAGGGACAATAATTTGTTGAAACACCAAGAATTTAGAATTGACTCTCATACCAATTGCTCATTTGAAAATAGGACTGATAAAATTATATTTACTTTGGCAGGTTGCTGTGATGATTAGATTTTTTTTTCCCTTTTTCCCTCCCCTTTTTTAGATATTCACAACACCTCTATAGAGGCTAACAGGAATATGTCTATCTATTAAATTTCTGTGTGCATGGGGCTGGGGGTTTAGCCCAGTAGAAGGGCCCCTGCCCGGTGCGCGCAAGGCCCTGGGTTCGGTCCTTAGCCCTGGGGGAAAAAAAAATTTCTGTGTGCATGCATGCTGGTGCTAGTACTAGGGCTTGAACTTGGGGCCTTTCAGTTTTACTCAGCATTCTACCCCTGTACCATACTTTTAGTCTGCCATTTTACTTGTTTGCTTGGGCTGGCTTCAAGCCAAGATTCTCAGATCTTAGCCTCCTGAGATTTCAGACATGAACCACGAGTGTCCAGCCAGGTTTAGATATTATAAAATACTTTACAAAGAAGTGGTGCTGTGGCTCACATGGTAGAGCGATAGCCTTGAGCTGAAGAGCTGAGGGACAGCACCCAGGCCCAGAGTTCAAGCCCCACGACCAAAAAAAAAAAACAAACCAAAAACCAAAAACCTAAAATACTTTACAAATCAGTAGCAAGGTGTCTACTATTATTATTGCAAAGTAGTAGATATAAAGATGAATAAGGGCTGGGAATGTGGCTTAGTGGTTGAGTGCTTGCCTAGCATGCATGAAGCCCTGGGTTTGTATCCTCAGTACCATATACGCAGAAAAAGCCAAAAGTGGTGTTGTGGCTCAAGTGGCAGAGCACTAGCTTGAGCAAAAAGCTCAGGGACGCCGAGTGCCAGTGGCTCATGCCTGTAATCCTAGCTACTCTGAGGATCTGAGGATTGTGGTTCAAAGCCAGCCCGAGCACAAAAGTCCATGAGACTTTTTTTTTTGGGTTCGGTTGTGGGGCCTGAACTGTGGGCTTGGGTGCTGTCCCTCAGCTCTTCAGCTCAAGGCTAGCGCTCTACCACTTGAGCCACAGTGCCACTTCCGGCTTTTTTTCTTTTTGCTTATGTGGTGCTGGGGACTCGAACCCAGGACCTCAGGCATGCAAGACAAGCTCTCTACCACTGAGCCACCTTCCCAGCCCCTCCATGAGACTCTTATCTCTAAGAAACTACCAGAAAACCAGAAGTGACTCTGTGGCTCAAAGTGGTAGAGCTCTAGCCTTGAGCTGAAGAGCTAAGGAACAGTGCCCAGGCCCAGAGTTCAAAGCCTTATGACCGGAAAAAAAAAAAAAAAAAGATAAATAAGAAACTCTCCCCACTTGGAAACAGTAAAAAATCCAAGAAGAAAGGAGAAGGCTGAGATCTGAGGATTGTGATTCAAAGCCTGAGCAGCAGAGTCCAAGAAACTCTTATTTAACCACCAGAAAACCAAAAGTGGCGCTGTGGCTCAAGTGGTAGAGTACTTTCCTTGAGCTGAAGAGCTGAGGGACCGAGCCCAGGCCCAGAGTTCAAGCCCCACATCCAAAAAAAATTTAAAAATCACAACAAAACCCCTTATTTTATATAATTATACCCTAAAAAAAACATCAAAAATGGGCTGGGAAGGTGGCTCAGTGGTAGAGCGCTTGCTTTGCATGCATGAAGCCATGGGTTCAATTCCTCAGCACCACATAAGCAAAAAGAAAAAAACCTGGAAGTGGTGCTGTGGCTCAAGTGGTAGAGAGCTAGCCTTGAGCTGAAGAGCTGAGGGACAGCGCCCAGGCCCAGAGTTCAGGCCCCACGACTGGACCCAAAACAACAACAACAACAAAAAAAAAACATCAAAAAGTACCCAGTAGAGCTGACTCACATTTGTAATCCTAGCTACTTGGGAGGCTGACATTTGAGGATCATAGTTCAAAGCCAGCTTGGTAGCAAAGTCCATTAGACTCATATCCAGCTGACTACCAAAAAGCTAGAAGTAGAGCTGTGGCTTAAATGGTAAAGCATTAGCCTTGAGTGAAAAGGCTGTAGGACAGTGCTCAGGCTCTGAGTTCAAGCCCCAGGACCACCACACACACACACACACACACACACACAAGTAGTTCAAGCCCCAGGACCAGCGTGCGCACACGCGCGCACACACACACACACACACACACGCACACACACACACACACACACACACACACACACACACACACACACACACACACACACATACCTTGTAGAGAGTTAGAAGTTGGGATAATTCAGTGCCCAGAAAATAGTCTGAATGTTTTTGTGGTGCTGAGGATGGAGCTCATACTAGGCACATATTAGCAGTGACAGAACCTTTTATTGAGCACTGAAGCAAACATGAGTTAGGTAAGATCCAAATCCTTCTTCTAATTGCTTCTAATTCTGCTTCTGCCTCCAGAGTGCTGGGATTATAGGTATGGGTTACCACACCCAACCCTACAAAATACTAAATGAAGGCTAGAGAGCTATACACATTTCATTCTCAGGTAGCTCACTTAACTACTATCTTATTTTTCTACTGGGTAAAATAGACCAATATTTTATCTTCAGATAACCTAGTTGGGAACAAGGAACTCAAAGGCAAAACAAAACAGAAATGTTTGCTGCATCTTATCCTAAGTGTTTGTTTGATTTCTTTCTTTTCCAGGAAATATTCATATGTTCTCAAATGTGACAGATGACACTCACTATTACCGCCGGCGACACCGACATGAGAGGACACACACACGAAAGGAAGAAGAAGAAGATAAACCTCAGGTACTTAGGGAAAGGAAGAGAGCTGCTCATAAAGTTTACCAAACCAGCCTTGATGGAGTGTAATCTAGTTCTAGAAGTTAACCTTGAGCCACTCCTAAAATGTGTAGTAGGGAAGTAGAGGTGGCAGTTTGAAGGGCTGGGTAATCAGCCCAAATAGGCCAGAGTGGTAAGTCAGGGCCACCCCCCCCCATCTCTCCCCCCTTCTCCCCCCCCCCCCCCCCCCCCCCCCCCGCCTATCCATTGTTTTGTGGCTCTCCCAGGATCTTGGTTTCCCTCTGAAAGAAGTTTAAGGTAAGGGATCGAGAGAGTCTCATGAAGCTCAAGTGCACAGCTGGAACCAAGAGCTGGGTACTGTTAGGCTCCTGGGTATCTGCACTCACCATGACTCTTCAGAGCCAGCTTGTTTCCAGTTTTCCCATCACTCTGACTTTGTTTTGCTCTTTCTAAGCAGTCTGGCCTGTTCTCCTTCCCCTTGCAAATGACTAGTTCATAGTGCATGAGAACATGTGCCCTCCCTCCTCTCTCTCTCTTTCTTTCTCTCTTTCTTTCTTTCTTCTTTGTCTTTTCTTTTTTTAGTACTGGGGATCGAACCCAGGACATCACACTTGTTAGGCAAGCACTTTGTCACTGAGCTACATCCCAGCCCAATGTTTCCTTTCTTGAGGTGATGAACCTCAACCCCAAATTCTCGAGAGGAGAATGCAATGATCTCAGCTAGACTTTAGTTCTCCCTAGATCAATTAGCTATAGTTTAGGCAAAAGAACTACATAACTCCGTTGTGCCTCTTAGAACCCCACCCCAGGAAAGTCCATGTCTGGACATATTTATGTAGTGGTGCCTGCCTCATTGATCTTAGAAAAGTGGCTGCAGAATTATTGGGTGTCAGATTGTGAGTAAGCCCCCTTCCGCCTTAGCAGGAAGCATACAGGTTACTTGGTCATCCCAGAAAAATTATGGGCTTTGTATAGATGCTTTTTTTCTCATCTGTGCATTGGCAATTTGTATTTTCTCTGGAGATCTTTTTCTTTCTTTCTTTCTTTCTTTTCCTTCCTTCCTTCCTTCTTTCTTTCTCTCTCTCTCTTTCTTTCTTTCTTTCTTTTTTTGTCATCGTAGGGCTTGAACTCTGGGCCTGGGTGCTGTCCCTCAACTCTTCAGCTCAAGGCCAGTGCTCTACCACTTGAGCCACAGAATCACGTCTGGTTTTCAGGTTGTTTATTGGAGATAAGAGTCTCAGGGATGGGCTGGGAAGATGGCTCAGTGGTAGAGTCCTTGCCTTGCATGCCTGAGGCCCTGGGTTCCATTCCTCAGCACCACATAAGCAAAAAGAAAAAAGCTGGAAGTGGCGCTGTGGCTCAAGTGGTAGAGCGCTAGCCTTGAGCTGAAGAGCTGAGGGACAGCGCCCAGGCCCAGAGTTCAGGCCCCACGACCGGACCCCAAAAAAAAAAAAAAAAAAAAGAATCTCGCTGCAATGCTTGGTAAGAAATGTATGCATTATCCTGCCCATGTAATTGTAACCCCTCTGTACAGTATGTTCTCAAATAAAATAAAATTAAATTAAAAAAAAAAAAAAAAAAAGAATCTCAGGGACTTTCCTGCCCAGGCTGGGTTTAAACCACAATTCTCAGATCTTAGCCTCTTGAGTAGCATGAGCTACCAGTGCCCAGCTTCTCTGGATTTCTTTGTATTTGTATTTTCAGTAAGCTTTATATTGATGAATAATGTTAATATCATACTTTTTCTCCTTTTTTAGACTACATATTCTGCATTTATTCAATTGCTTCCAGTTCTCGTGATTGTGATTATATCTGTCATTACTCAACTTCTGGCTGCTAATCCCCCATATAGTCTATTCTATAAATCGTAAGTCAAATATTTATACTTTTTTTATTTTTTATTTTTTTGTAACAGGGTCTCACTTGCAGTTCTTGAACTCACTGTGTAGCCTTGGCTGGTCTCAAACTCAGGATGTCCCTGCCTCCACCTTCAAGTGCTAGGATTACAGGTGTTTGCCACCATGCCTAGCTTTTAAATCTTAATAATTTAGAAGATGGAAGAGTTGAAGGTTTTGTAGATATATTACTAGTATTTTATCTCATCTTTCAATGAAACACTGATTTTATGTTAACACTGATCAACAGTGGAGATCAAAAATACTTGTCTCCTGTGCTCCTCACATGGATTATTTTGTTCTACAGTGACATCATCTGGACAGCCCTGGAAAAGCAACAGCTAGTTTCTGAAGCATCAATAGAATAATTTGAGACTCAAAGTAAATTCTTCTCTCACCAGTAACAGAGTTAGAAAGGAGTCCACTGAGCTTCAAATATGATTACTGAATCCTGTGGACCTCAGGTGTTAGAAATTTGGACCTAGGGATTATTTTCAAAAAATTGTGGGGAGAGGACATTTATTAACTATAAGGGTAGACATCAAACTATACTGTTATGTTTCTTGCTCTAACTGAAAACAAAAATTCATTGTAGCAATTATAAATGCATATAGGTCAATATAAAGCATGATAGAAATGTTTTTGGAGATAGGATTTCTCTATATAACCCAGGCTGCCTTAACCTTTCAATCCTCCTGCCTTAGTCTCCTAAATTCTGGAATTACATGTGTGAAACACCATAGCTAGCTCTTGAATTCGTTCTTTCAGTTGTTTTTTCTTTTCTTTTTTCTTTTTTTTTTTTCCAGTTCTGGGGCTTGAACTCAGGGCCCAGGCACTGTCCCTGAGACTCTTTTGCTCAGGGCTAGCACTCTACCACTTGAGCCACAGCTCCACTTCTGGTTTTCTGGTGGGTTTATTGGAGATAAGAGTCTCACAGACTTTCCTGCTCGGGATGGTTTTGAACAGCGATACTCACATCTCAGCCTCCTGAGTAGCTAGGATTATAGGATGAACCACTGGCACACAGTACTTCCAGCTTTTTCTGAGTCGTTTATTGGAGGTAAGAGTCGCACAGACTTTTCTACATAGGATGGCTTCAATCCATGATCCTTAGATCTTAGCCTCCTGAGTAGCTAGGATTACAGGTGTGAGCCACCAGCACCTGGTTGGGCTTTTTGCTTTGTTTTTGTTTGTTTGAGACAGGATCTGATCTTGCCTTAAATTCTTGATCCCTCTGCCTCTACTTCCCAAGCACTTGGATTATAGGCACGTGCCACCCCAGACTCAAATTGTTTTTCGGCATTCAGTACTCTCTTCACATGAAAAGTCAGCTAAGACATACAAATCTTTGAAGGAAATAACTATATATGCTGGAGTTGTATCTGCAGTATGAACCTGCTCATGTAATACATCAATAATGATGATTTTCTATTTACCACTTTGTTAGGGAATCGTAAGGGTTGGGTATATTAGCTAATGGAATCTCCTATGAAGTGATTACGAGCATGATCGCTAACAGCCTGAGCTAGAGTTAGAGTGCCTAATGTTACAAGCTCACCTATGCCCCTCTCTCTTTGTTTCAGAACCCTAGGCTATACCATTTCTAGAGAAACTCAGAACCTGCAGGTGCCTTACTTTGTGGATAAAAATTTTGACAAGGCCTACAGAGGAGCTTCTCTTCATGACCTGGAGAAAACAATAGAGAAAGATTATATCGATTACATCCAGACGAGTTGTTGGAAGGAGAAACAGCAAAGTAAGATGCTATGGAAGCAGCTTTTGCTAATGGCTGTGACTGTCAGCATGTGGTGATTTCAGCTTCCTGATCCTCTCTCTGTGTCCGGGTTATATGTTTATCTGAACAGAGACACAGGACAGAGGCCCATTCAGGATACTACAAACAAAAGGGGGAAGTGTATTGACAAAATACATGTAGCAGGATTTGGAGAGCTGAGGAACCTAGAAAGCATTCATCATCCTTGTCTATTTGACTGTCTTTGGGTCTTATCTCTGACATACTCTCTTCTTTCTTTTCTTCCTTTGTCTCCCCAAATGTTTCTTTTCCTTTTTTTCTATTCTTTTCTTTCCTTCTTTCTTTCTCTCTCTCTCTCTTTCTTTCTTTTTTTCTTTCTTTCTTTTTGTTTTAGAGATAGACTCTTACTATGTAGTCCAGACTGGAATTAAACTTGTGATATTCCTGCCTGAGTCTCTCAAAGTGCTGGGATTACAGATGTGTACCATCAAAACCTGGCAATACTTTCCCTTCCACACCCCACATAGTTGCTGCTCTTTTTATTGCTTTCCCAGTAGCCCTCAATCCTTACCACTGTCCCCTTTCTGTATCACAAGCTTCCTTATAAAGTTCTTAGTGCCATCTAGTAGTTTGATCACAGTTTCCAGTTTCCACATCAGAAGGAAATCTGATTGAGCCAGCCTATCTTTTTGAGCCAAATCAACAATTTAGAGGTTGCTCATACTGAGTCAGGTATCCCCTACATCCCTTTTGTAATCAGCTGTGCAGATAGAACAAAAGTGACCCTGGGTAGGATTTCTCTGAAGACTAGAAATAACAACGTCTGCCTCTTGACTTACAACTCCAGTTGTTGCTAGGGGATGCTGGCAGTGGCAGTTGCGCTGTCTTTCAGCCAGCAGCTTCACTTTTTATCCCACTTAAATTACACAGACACACACTGGGCTGGGAAAGTGGCATTGCCACACTGCCATTTCTGCTTTTTCTGTTTATGTGGTACTAAGGAATTGAACCCAGGGTTTCATGCATGCAGGGCAAAGCACTCTACCACTAAGTCACAGCCCATGTAGTTATTGCTCTTTTTATTGCTTTCCCAGTAGTCATCAATCCTTATCACTGTCCCCTTTGTGCATCACAAGCTTCCTTACAAAGTTCTTAGTGCCATCTAGTTTGATCACAGTTTCCAGTTTCCATATCAGAAGGAAATCTGATTGAGCCAGCCTATCTTTTTGAGCTAAATCATTCTCAAGTTTGAGGACAGCTAGGCTGCATAGTGAAACCCTGTCTTAAAAAAAAAAAGGGTGGGGGGTTGGCTGGGAATGTGGCTTAGTGGTAGAGTACTTGCCTAGCATGCATAAAGTCCTGAGTTCAACTCCTTAGTACCATATAAACAGAAAAGGCAGAAATGGCACTGTGGCTCAAGTGCTAGCCATGAGCACAGAGAGGCTCAGGAACAGAGTCCAGGCCTTTAGTCCAAGCCCCAGGACTGGCAAAGAAAGAAAAAAAAGGGGAGGAAGGAAGGAAGGGAGGGAGGGAGGGAGGGAGGGAGGGAGGGAGGGACGAAGGACATAGGAGCAAGAGAAAAGCCTTAGGTTTAAAGGCTGAATATATTGCCTGTCATTTATGGTTCATACCTTGTAATCCTAGCTAGTCAGGAGGGTCAGATTGGAGGTTCTTAGTTCAAAGCCAGCCCATAAATGATTAATTAATTAAGGTCGTTAATTGGATTAGCCACCTAAAAACCAAAAGTGGAGCTGTGGCTCAAAGTAGTAGACCCCAGGGAGCTGGGAATATGGCTTATTGCCTAGTATGCATGAAGCCCCGGGTTTGATTCGTTAGTACCACATAAACAGAAAAAGCCAGAAGTAGCACTGTGGCTCAAGTGGTAGAGTGCTAGTTTTGACCAAAAGAAGCTCAGGGACAGTGCCCAGGATTGACCCAAAGAAAGGGGGTAGAGCACTAGCCTTGAGCAAAAGAACTCAGGGACAGTGTCCATCCCCTGAGTTGAAACCCTACAACCAAAAAAAATAAAGAAAGAAGGCTGACTATGTATGGATCCAAATCAAGGAGAAACCCAGTGCTTATCCTACATATTTACCATTGTTCTAGCTAGGCATTAAGAGAGCTTTGAATTTACTGCTTTCTGCTAGAATTGGATGAAAATCTGCATTTCGCATTCTTCCCCCACCCCCAACACATGTTTTGTGACTTAAGATATAGAACTATGGGGGCTGGGAAGGTGGCTCAGTGGTAGAGCGCTTGCCTTGCATGCATGAGGCCCTGGGTTCGATTCCTCAGCACCACATAAGCAAAAAAAAAAAAGCTGGAAGTGGCGCTGTGGCTCAAGTGGTAGAGCACTAGCCTTGAGCTGAAGAGCTGAGGGACAGCGCCCAGGCCCAGAGTTCAGGCCCCACGACTAGACCAAAAAAAAACAAACAAAAAAAAAGATATAGAACTATGTAAACAGCTGATAGTAGGGACTGTACCAACCAAAGGTGGCTTACTTTGAGAGCTGAGGTGCTCTCCAAGTAGAAATAAAAATGCAGTGAGTAAGCATAGTGTTGTGAGCTCCCTGGTTCCTAAGGGGGGTTGTCAGCACACACCCACCCCTTCAGAATCTATTTCTGGATTTGACAATGGCTGTGCAGAGTTTCCACACTACCCAAGTGCCATTTGAGAACAGGCAGCGTCTGCCCTCTGAATCCAGTAGCAAGCACAGCCAGCAAGGTTATATTTAGCTCTTAGAGCTTGTAAAAATAAACCTACTTGAGAACAAAGTTCACTCTTGGCAAAATACTGAATGGAAACTGTTTTTACCTAAGTTAGTCATTATCTTTTTCAATCTTTTGTTTACTTCTTTTCTCTGCTTTTCCTTAGAATGCTTAATCTGGGTGAGTGTGTATGAATATTGACACTAATTACCTAGTTTACTCCTTCACTGGTCTACATGCCACTGGGTGAGGCAGGACCAGCCTCCTGGCCCACACAGCTGAGCAGAGATCCTGGCCCTGACTGGTTGAGGAGCATGTCTTTTCATGCCCTTGCACAGGGTTGCTGAGTGGTAGAAGGCTTAGCTTTGGACTAGGGCAAGAATTAACTAATGTCTAGAGAAGTCATGTGGATTACAGATGATGGTGTAGGTATAATTCTTAGCATAATATCTGACAGATCATAAGTGACTCATTCTTGGTGAAGTCCAGGCATTATGTAGCCTTAAATTGTAGTCCAGAAGGTAGCCTTATCTCATGGGGTTGGATTATGGGGGTAGTTGGGGTTTACCAGAACGTTCTAACTGTCAGGTTCCACTCTGGACACTCAGGCTGAGTATTTGTGGGAGAGACTCTAGGACTTGCTTCTTTAGGCAATATGCCAATCAGTTTACCTTTAAGACTCAACACTCGGGCTGGGAAGTTGGCTTAGTGGTAGAGTACTTGTCTTGCATGCATGAGGCCCTGGGTTCGATTCCTTAGCACCACATAAGCAGAAAAAAGCCAGAAGTGGTGCTGTGGCTGGAGTGGTAGGGTACTAGGCTTGAGCTGAAGAGCTGAGGGACAGCGCCCAGGCCCAGAGTTCAGCCCTCACAACCAACAACAACAACAAAAAAAGACAATACTCTGTCCATCTTATTACACTGGGCCTTTAGGGAAAAGGGATATTTTGTTTAGAAAAAAAAAGGAAGTGTTCTCTTCATCCTGCCTTTTCCCAATTTTTTTCCTAGTTACGTGAAAGTTACAGAATATTAGTAGAACTTGTCAAAAGCAACATATTCTTGAGTTAATTCTTGGCTGTCACTGGCAGTTTGAGGAGAAGTTTGGGACTGGTTCTTGGAAACACTGACCTTGTACAAGGTCACTGTTCAGAAATGGGTCTCTAACTAGGTTTTGATATGGAAAACAATGTGATGTTTTGAGAAAAACACATAATGTGCAATGGTCTTTCATCTACTTGATATAGAGGTCTTCAAGACAGAAAATATTAAGAATTACTAGCCTTTAATATTCTCTAGAATGGGACTCCAGGGAATGAGACATGGAGAAAAGGCCAATAAACAAACAAACAAAAATGCCTAAGGAAACTGTTTTAACAAAAAACAAAACGGAAAAAAAAAACCCAAAGCTACAGATTATGCTCCATGCACTGGTGTTAACTGTGACTCTAAAGAAACAAAGGCATAGAGCTCTCTTGAATAGGATTCCCCAATGCCAAAAAAGCTTGAGAAGTAGACTTAGTGCTGAGTGCTGGACAGGACTCAGGAGCAGGGACCTTCACATGATCCTTCATGCAGTTCTGTTACCTGCAAGATGACTATGCCAAGGCAGGCCATGGCTGCATCACAGGCACCTGGCCATGGGTGAAAGCACATTGTTCTGCAGCCTGGGAGACCTGCTGCTTGCCAAGCCACTACTGGGCTAGCGCCCGGGCTCTGCAGTACATTGTACACAGAGTGTTTTGATGCACAGCCACCCTTCACCCTGGAGTCCTGCACTTTATTTGCACTCCTCCCCCTCCCCACTCCCCCTACCCCACTCTCCCACCTCCCCCACCCCCCAGTCATGGGGCTTGAAGTCTGGGCCTAGATGCTGTCCCTCAGCTCTTCAGCTCAAGGCTAGCGCTCTACCACTTGAACCACAGCACCACTTCCGGCTTTTTCTGCTTATGTGGTGCTGAGGAATAGAACCCAGGGCCTCATGCATGAGAGGCAAGCACTCTACCACTGAGCCACCTTCCCAGCCCCTTCATCTACACTTTGAACCTAACAGTGTAAAAAAGAATCAAAGCTACGTAAGCAGAAAAATCCAGAAGTGGCGCTGTGGCTCAAGTGCTGGAACACTAGCCTTGAGCCTTGAGCTGAGGGACAGCGCCCAGGCCAACTGACCAAAAAAAAATCCCTCAAAGCCAAGCCACGTTTTGTGTGGATAAGAGACTTACTGAGAAATCAGTGCCCATTGTTCTTTCTGGCTAATGTTAATTCCTGTTGCCTGGCAGTTTGCTGATTAATCGAACAGGTGTGTCTCCTTCCACTAACAAAAAAATCTGTCAGCACGATGCTTGAAAACGCATAGGCATATTTGAAAGTGATTAAAATAGCGTTTTCACAAGTATGGTCTTTTAAACATTTTAGCTGCCTGCTTGTTGGAGGCTCTGGGAAGCTGCCTGCTCATCTAAGCTCATCCTCTTATTTCACAACATGTCTCTCTGAAGGCGCTTTTCAGGCAGTCCTTCCTGAGAATGTCTCTAAAAGAATAAAAAGTTGAGGTTGTCCAACCACTGTGGAGTCAGGAAATACAGCAGAGATGACACTCTAGTTAAAAAATAGAATGACCTTCTCCACCATGAACAGAAAATGCAATTCACTTAGTCAAGGAGACAAAGGACACCGGATCCAGATGATTTCACTTTTAAAAGAACTCAGCTGCCTTGCCCTTTGAGTGGAGGACTTCGTATGTGGTGGGGGAGTGAAGAAAGCTGCCGGCAGCCTGGCCTTCTGTGGCACTACCCCACCAGAGGTGGGCCCTGTGTCATGAGTGAATTATGGTCCAGCAACGCTGGGAAAGAATGAAGCAGCTGTCTTTGTTTCAGATGACAGGAATAGGCAATTGGACTCTAGTCTCTCCAACTGCCTTGTGAATACCCGAGAGAGGAAGGCTGCAAAAAGTCTCCTCTTACTGCACACGTGCACATTTTCCTAAGTCTGATGCCAAATGATTTATTGATAAGAACTAAGTCCAGTGCTTTTCTAAGAGCACAGATAATGTAGGATTGCAGGATCACAGGTGCCTGTTAATCCTCAGCATATGGTGTAGCACCTAATGTGCATTTCTTGAATAAAAAAGTGAATGCTGCATTAAAAAGCATTCAAGTAAGTTGGGCGCTAGTGGCTCATGTCTGTAATCCTAGCTTCTCTGGAGGCTGAGATCTGAGGATCGCAGTTCAAAGCCAGCCCAAGCAGAAAAGTCCCTGTGAGACTCTTATCTCCAATTAACACTCAAAAAAAAAAAAAAATAAGTTGTGTTTCAAAGTGATAGAGCGCTAGCCTTGAGCAAAATAGCTCAGGGACAGTGCCCAGGCCCTAAGTTCAAGCCCCACAACTGGATTGGGGGAGGGGGGGAAGCAGTATTAAAGTAAAAGATACTTTGATTCCAGAAATGTGAAATGAGACAAAGAGCTTAACTCCCTTGATGAACTGGTTACCTCTTTTGTCTTTCAGAGTCGGAGTTGACAAATTTGGCAGGATTATACAGAGATGAACGGTTGAAACAGAAAGCAGAGTCGCTGAAACTTGAAAACTGTGAAAAACTTTCCAAACTTATTGGCCTCCACAGAGGTGGTTGAGAGGATGATGGTCCTACACAGGGTTTGGGGTTTTGTTACTCGTTACTACTTATGTTCCCAAGTCCATTTTATAATACAAAATTAGGAATAATGAACATTTTACTATTTATGAACTTTGGGCAGGGTTGAGGGGGCTTTAGCATGAGCCAGACTTGTCATCACAGAGTCCTTCCTGGGGAGTGGCTCCTGGGACAGAAACATTTCATTTAAGTTATATGAATGGCAAAGCATCCACTCAGCCTCCCTGCTTCATGCCTACCCTGCCTTTGTGAATATTGTTCAGGGCATCCCAGAACACATCAACGATTCTCTTCCTTTTTCCCATCTTCAGTGATCTTAATACCCAGGCATTCCTGGGCTTCGCCAGAGCAGTTCCATATTATGTATAGCATCTGCCAAGAATCATCTTCCTACATAAAAGTCATTATCTCTCTTGAGAAATAGCCCTGGGAACTTAAGCTGTCAAGCCAATAGCTTTCTGTTATCCCAGCCTCCATTCAGAGAATCCAGAAATTAAAATCAGTTGTGCTGTGAAACAGATAGGGGAAATTCAGCAGCAAGAAGCAGGGTCAAGGAGAAGATGAAATGGAAGACTTCATTTCAGCTCCTTAGTGTAGATCCCTAAGACAACGTAGAACCAGAGAATGTTTTGTGTCATTTCCCTTTATTGTAATTGTTTAGTATTATCACCCCTGAATTGAGTCCCTCCATTCCACAGAGGTACAGTCATTAGATCCAAGAGGAGTCATACTCAGAAAATCAGGTTATGGCTCAAGCCTAGAGATGGAAGGCGAAGATTCCCCCTCTATGACTATGGGGTAAGGGTAGAGGTTAGTGTTGGGTTCTGCTGTCATTTTGTTTAACCCAGTGCTATACATAGTTTGTAGTGTAAGGTGATTTTTTATTCATCTTTTATTTGAGTGTGGCTGGTCCTGGGTTTTGTTGGTGGTGGTGGTGGGTTTTTGGAGGTCTTCAAGCTTGAATTCAGGGCCTAGGTGCTATCCCTGAGCTTTTACGCTCAAGGCTACCACTCTACCACTTTGAACCACAGTGCCCCTTCCAGGTTTTTGGTAGTTAATTGGAGATAAGAGTCTCACAGATTTTCCTAACTGGGCTGGCTTTGAACCACCATCCTCAGATCTCAGCCTTATAGGTTCTTAGAGTTACAGATGTGAGCTACCAGTGCCCAGGTTCCTGGGGCTTTTTGTTTGTTTTTGTTCAAGGTTAGTGTTCTACCACTTGAGTCTCAGCTCCACTTCAGGCTTTTCTTTTTTCTTTTTGTGGGTTGTGGGGCTTGAATGCTGGCATGGGCACTGTCTCTCAACTCTTCAGCTCAAAGCTAGCACTCTACCACTTAAGCCACAGTGCCACTTCCGGTTTTCTGAGAGGTTTATTGGAGATAAGAGTCTCAGGGAATTTCCTGCTGGGGCTGGCTTTGAACCACGATCCTCAGTTCTCAGTCTCCTGAGTAGCTAGGATTAAAGGTGTGAGCCACCAGCACCCAGCAACTTCTGGCTTTTCTTTGGTGGTTAATTGGAGATGAAAGTCTCACAGACTTTCCTGCCTAGGCTGGCTTCAAACCATTATCCGCAGATCTCAGCCTCCTGAGTAGCTAGGATTGCAGGTGTAAGCTACCGGTGCCCAGCAGTTTATTCAACTTTTATTGAGTGCCTACTATAAATTATAGCAAGGAGGGGGCTGGGAAGGTGGCTCAGTGGTAAAGTGCTTGCTTTGCATGCATGAGGCCCTGGGTTCGATTCTTCAGTACCACATAAGCAAAAAAGAAAAAAGCCGGAAGTGGCACTGTGGCTCAAGTGGTAGAGCGCTAGCCTTGAGCTGAAGAGCTAAGGGATAGCGCCCAGGCCCAGAATTCAGGGCCCACGACCGGACCCAAAAAAAAAAAAATTATAGCAAGGACCTCTTGTGTTTTTACTTAAGCTTCCACACAGTTCTGTAGATTATTAATCTCTTTTTATGAGAGAGCACTGGCCTGGAGAGGATAATGGCTAACCTGTGAAAATATGAGAGATTGTTCTCATTTTTCAGGTGACTCTAGCCAGATTGGCAAAGCAGAATCTTGCCCCAGGATACCTGTGTCCTCCAAACCTTCCTGCCCCTGCATCTATCCTTCCCATATCCAGGATAACCTCCCTTCTGGTCTTTAAAATGCAAGATAACTAGGACCTCCCAACATACATTGAGGTCCCTGGAAGGCAAAAAGTCAGCCTTTCCCACTAGTAACAAGGCAGACATTGCCTGGGCTCTGAAGTTCCAGGCCTTACTGGGGAGGTAAGCCACTAGGATTAAGCTCTCCACAAGTCCCTGAATTGAAAGGACCACTAGGTGACTGTAGTTTACACTCTTCTTTCTATTCCTTCTTTGTTTTGGAAGAAAAGCTCCTGTTGGAAGGAAAGTCTACAGCACAATTGAGCTCCAAAGTACTTTCTCCATTCGGATCATCCATGTTGCATCAAGTTAGGACATGGGTAAAGAAAGGAGGCTTTGATGGCTGGTAGGGACAACTACCAAGTTCTCTCTCCAGCCTCAACCACTGCTACGTAATGGGCCACAGTGAAACTGATTTGACAGAGTAAAAGACCCTCCTGTAGATGCCCATGAATAGAATAGTCATGTTTTATGAATTTCATGGTAGCAATCAATTATCTGTGATAATATTAATTAGAGGCAATACTAACAACATTAAATGTCACATCGATTGCTTTTATAACATTAGTGGTCCTATTTATTACTAATAGACCATAATGCTCACATCTGGCTTTTTTTCTCAAGGGAATTACATGTTTTTTGTTTGGAGAATAGTTAGATCTATTTGGTACTATCCAGAATATTGTTAAACTCTTAATTTCCATGGTTGTATTTTAGATGGTTGTGTGCATGGTGCTTTTTCCTCTTGTCTGCATCCTTTGGAAGACTTCCTGACGGTATAAAGTCTTTAGATAAGCCTGTTCTTGCTGTCAGAACATGGCACGCAGCTTGAATACTGTTTCTTGCAGTGCTGCTGAAGATTGGAGAAGTGTGAAGGGAGTGGGGCGAAGAAATAGAACTTGAGGCTCACACAGGAACTAAGCTGAAGCTCTCATTCAAATGAAGGTGCTCTCCATAGCAAAGAGGGAGAGGGTGAAAATCCTCATCACAAAGAACCAGGCTGTTTAAGCAATCCATGTCCACAAATTAGCAGTCCTAGGATTTATCTACTCAAACTGGAAAAACTAAGTTTCCTTGATCGGTTCCAGGACACACAGCTTGGGAGGAGTGACATGGAAGAAAAGAACATGGCATGCTTCCTGTTGGAAACTGTTAGAAATGGCAGTGAACTCCCAAGCCCCAACTGAACATGGGACCAGCAGCCTGGCTGAGCTGTGTGCTGTTGCCATTTGCATCCTCACACTCCTCAGGAGTGGCAAGGAGGAGGCACTCTGGGATGCCAGCAGCCACACAGTCAAGTTCATTGTCTCTGCATGCGCTGCTCCTCACAGGAGCTTAGCACTTCATTTCTATTTATTTTGAACTCATTTAAGATGTAAGCTTAATGTCCTAATATATTTATTTTTGGAAAGGGCCAAGTTACTATACATCTTTATTTTTTTGAGCTTGCATTGTTGATATCTTGTGCGATGGCCACCATATAACCATAGGCACATATGTTAGGTAGTGATTTTATCATCTGCATCACAATACTAAAGACATGGATGTTCTGTGACCAGCTTCTGGGATGACACAGGTGAAATCAGATCCTGGTGGAGTAAGAATTCTGAAAATCTGGTCACTTGATTCATTGCATCTAGATTGAGTGTATTTTAATGGGAAAAAAAAAATTAAAAGATTTTTATATAAAAAGAATGGCTTTATATCTTGATTCTTTTACCAGAAGTGGAAGTGTGGCTCCAAGTGGTAGAGTGTTGGCCTTGAGCAAAAAAAAACAGGGATAGTACCCAGGCCCTGAATTCAAGCTGCAGGTCAGCACAATAATAATAATAATAATACATTTAAGCAGGGCACCAGTGGCTCATGCCTGTAATCATAGCTAAGATCTTAGGATCACGGTTCAAAGCCAGCCCACGAAGAAAAGTCCATGAGACTCTAATCTCCAATTAACCACCAGAAAACTGGAAGTAGCGCTGTGGCTCAAGTGGTAGAGCACTTGACTTGAGCTGAAGAGCTCAGGGACAGTGCCCAGGCCCAGAGTTCAAGTGCCACAACCAATAAACAACAACAACCAAAAACACATTTAGGGGGCTGGGAAGGTGGCTCAGTGGTAGAGCACTTGCCTTGCATGCCTGAGGCCCTGGGTTCAATTCCTCAGCACCACATAAGCAAAAAGAAAAAAGCCAGAAGTGGCGCTGTGGCTCAAGTGGTAGAGCACTAGCCTTGAACTGAAGAGCTGAGGGACAGCGCCCAGACCCAGAGTTCTGGCCCCACGACCAGGCCCCCCCCCCCCAAAAAAAAAGTAGGGTATTTTGTTGGGCAGAAAGAAATAGCCAAACCATCAACCAGGATGGCAAGCCTGTGTAAAAGGCAGCTTTTCCCAGAGAAGAATCATAGAGCTTCTTGTGATATCATGTCATGCTAAGCCTCATTGAGCCCTTGTTGGCTAGAAGCCCAGAATGCTTGCTGACATGTGTAGAAGTGTGTTATGGTCTGTCATGTCCATGCAAGTTTGAACTTGGAGTGTAAGAGTCTCATTCCTTATAACCTCCCAACCCCAGGGAACTGGCTGTGTTCTAAAGTGGTACCCCAAATACATCTACCACTCATTCCAGCTGGTGGAGATAAACATTGGCAAGTAACACCAAGCAACACCACAAGGAAGATTAGAGGGAGGGAAGAGAACATAGTTCATGGGGAACACTCGAGTCACTGCCCCAGTGGAATGTGCAGCTTAGTCCAAGGTGACCATAGGTGGGCACATTGGCAGACAAAGTTCAGAGAGAGCTCTGTGCTAGTGCAGCAGCAACACAGCAGCCTTTAGGCCCACACTGGCCAACACAGTAGCCAATAGCCAAATATGGCTATTAAGCCAGATATCAGTGGCTTACCCACCCCTGTCATCCTAGCTTGTAATCCCACCCTCTAT